AAGCAGGGTCATCTGAAGGAGGTTGCTCAGGGGGAGTTCTGGCCAGTAGGTTATGAGTATCAACAATGATGGAAAATCTATACCTTTCCCTGATCAATCTGTCATCTCTCAGGTTGGCCAACCATAATTGCACCTTTGTTAATCAATGCCAGCTACTCCCAACAACCTTCTTGTACTTCCCACATTTCAAAATGGTTTCCAGCATAATTTGTTCCCATAGATAGCTTTACGGTTAATTGGCCTAAAAGTTCCTGAATCCTCCTTCTTTCCCTTCATGAAGGTAAGGAGTGATGTTTGTTTTCTAGCAGCTCCCAGGAGCTGTCATGACCTTTCAAATGCAGTTGAAGTCTTTGTGATGACATCAACCAGACCCCTCAGCACTCCAGGATGCACCCCATCAGGTCCTATGAACTTCTATACATCAGTTTTATCTAAACATTTCATAGTCTAACTCACCTCCACCCAGAGCAAGTCTTCCTTACACTAGACTTTCCCTCAGGTCTCATGGCCCAGGGTTCCTGAAGGTAAGTCTTACCAGTAAAGGCCTAGGCAAAGAAGACACAGAGTGCCTCTGCCTGTTCTGCATCATTTATCACTCGATTCCCTACCCTGTTCAGTAGAGGACCCACATCTTTCATCTTCCTTTTGCTACTGATACATCTGTAGAAGCCCTTCTTTTTTTGCCCTTCACATCGCTCCCCAGATTCAACTCCAGGTGGGCTTTGGCTTTCCCAACCCCATCCCTGCATATTCAGGTCTTCCTGCATCACACAACTCTGCTCCCACCTCTTGTACATCTCCATTCTATGTTTGGATTTTGTCAGGAGCTTCCTGTGCATCCATGAAGGACTTTTATTCACCTTTTCTTGATTTCCTCTTCATCAGAATGAATAATTCTTGAGTTGAGAGGAGTAACTTAAAACAAATGTCACCAGCTCTCCTGGATCCCTCTTCTCTCTAACATACTCCACTTTTCCTAGGTTACTCCATAATGTAACTAAGCGCATTAAGCTGTTGAAATGTTTCTGCCAAAGGCAGCTGTTGGATCTTCTGGGAAACCTCTTTATTAGCACTATATTATGTAAGTAACATCAGTTTCATTGACTGAAAATTGAAAGGCAATTTCAACATAATGATCTCTGTCCTTTGCCATGTTAGTTGCATCAAAATGAACTATCAATATAATCTGAAAGCAATTTTATTACCTTAGCATTTTCATAACTCATTAGTAAACAAGTACTTATCACAATCTAAACCTGAAAGACACAGGCAAATGGAACAAATACAAGAGTTAAAAGAACATGATAGAAGGCTTTTCAACTTTATTTAAATAGGTGTTATTCCTCTGCTCTATCTGCTAAACATACTTTTTCAGTGACACTTGACTTACCACTACACTAAAGATACTTTTTAAAGGTATGTGCTTCATCAGCTGACATCTTAAAATGTCTAGTGAAAAAGACAAACTCAGTTACAGCATATATAGGTAAAAAATCACAAACTACACATGCTGGCATGAGCATCAGAGGAAAAAGTCTCAGCTGCTAAATTGTGGAAAAACTGACCCTCCAGAAAAGCCCAATTTTTTCAGGAGATTAGAAAATTAAATTAATTTCTAAAAAATTAATCCTTCTAGAAAAATTAACAGTTTCATAAAAATTGACCTGTTATCTGGTGTGCTCAATGCACTTTAACATGTCCTTATTTAATTTGTTGCTGCAAAGTCTAAAGCAAATTAAGAGTAAAACCTTATTAATCAGTATAATTTATACACTAAGTGACAAAGTGACACAAATATTTATTTTATAGGTGAATCCCTAACATAAGAGTGTTCCAGCTGATAACAAGACTTTCCCAATCGAGATGGACTTGGTTTTTTTAGTGCAATATGGAGTAAACACCATCAGAAGCAAGAGCAGTATTAACTTCAATTTAGCAAAACCGAAAAATTAAATGCAAATCAATAAGAATTTAAACCCAATAGTGCCTACTTCAACAGAAATTCTGCACTTCTTCAGGGCACATTGAGAAGAACTCTATCGCCACTTCCTGGGCAGATCAGGAAGTTCGTAGTTTGAAAACAGCACAAAAGGGTGATTGCAAAGCTACCGGCATGAATAGGCAACTCAGTTATACGGAGGATACTAGTCTGACAGAAGTTTCTCTTCTTGCTGTTTGCTCTCACATGCCATATGCTTGAGGACATCATACTTCATTGTTTAACCTCTCCTAAACCCTTTATTTTTTTCACCGTTGTGTGGCCATAGTCGAAGACTTCCCTACCTACCAGTCAAAATATACTGTAATGACAATTGCTGTGTTCAAAATACAAAGGCTGAGCACATGAACTTATGTTAGATTTAAAAGAGTGTAGGACTATCAACACAAAAAAACTAACCTGGATTGTGATTTTTGGGGTTTGGTTTGGTTTTGCTTTTTTTGGTTGGGGTTTGTTGCCTTTTTTTTTTAGTTCCAGTGTGTATGGGCACATCCATGCTGATGTCTAAAGCTAGATAATCCACCAGCATTATAAGCAAAAAAATTTTCTCCTCTGGAATATTCTACATTCTTTCCATCAACAGACAGTATTCTGTTCACAGAAATCACAGAATATGCTGAGTTGGAAGGGATCCACAGGGATCATCAAACTCCAACTCCTGGCCCTGCTCAGGACAGCCCCAAGAATCGCCCTATGTGCCTGTTCCCAAAAGACTGTGTGTATGTTTGTATATATTTGTTTAATTATTCCTCATACCTCAAAAAATACAAATATGACACTTATTCCACATGTCTGCCTTTTCTTGCTGTTCTGACAAAATCACTCATTCACAAACCATCTTCAAAACTCCCTACTTACAAGTTCCTAGGTCAGGATCTCCTAACCATATTTTTCACAATAACAGATCCACTGTGATAATCGACATAGTGTAACACCTTTTTCCGCTTGTCTCCTAATCTTTCCTCCCATCCCACAAAAAGACTAAAATATGCATCAGAAACTGTTATCTTCATCACCATTTTTCTTCTGTCTGTCTGTCTCAGCTTCACAGGTTCATGCACACACATTACAGCAAGTACAAATACTCCTCCAGTAGGCTCCATCAAAGCTGAAAACCCACAGAGCGCCACCACCTCCCAGACAATTCACCCACACCATTCCCAGGTTTGCTGATGGGCAAATAAAGCAGGCTGTACAAATTCTGACACCCAGGAAGCCTATTCCTTATTCCCTCCCCCAAAGAAGTACTGAGACCCATTCTGCAAACACAAAACAATCAGATTTCACTCATCCACAGAAACAGACTTACTACACACAGAGACTAACAAATCCATGGTAAGGATTTTAACACTGTCTCTGCCTTCCCTTACCAGAAAAGCAAGCTAAACAGACTGACACCACATAAAGGTGGTAATCACTATTTTACCTAAGTAATAGGTAAAATAGCCTGCTTACAAAATTCACCTTTCATCATATTAATTTTTGCCATGCATATTACCTCTGAGTCTCTCTTCTATAAGAAATGAAGTTGAATTTATTACTTTCCATTCTTTTATTTATTTAGCCTCTTGCTTCTTCACAGGTCTGTTTTCTTTTCGAATCCCCTTATCTCCACTCCACAAGTGACACCAACTAAGAACCAACCTTTGTAAGTCTCTAATGCTCACTCTTTGTCTTCCTTCTGAGTTTCTTCAGTGGAAGAGATCCTATCCTTTTACCTACATGCTACACAATTCGACTCAAATCTTTTCTTAACTGTTACTACACCATATTTCAGGAAAGAATCTACCTTAAGTATTTAATTATGTCTGCTTATGTTGTACAGATGGATATTCAGGAAACAGACCACATAAACCTGAACACAATTACAGCAACCACTTTCAACCTGACAGGATAAACATTCCTTTCGGTCTGCTTCCTCAAGTTCCCCGTAATGGTACATCAACTGTTCCACCTGTTTAAGTAATAAAAGTCTCGCACTGTAAGTTTAGCCTCCAACCAATGTGATTTTTTTTTTTAAAGAGAAAAATCTGTCTGAAAGTTATGTACCCCAGCAGCACCATATCCCCATCATCGCCTGAACTGTACAGAGCATGCTAGAGTAACTGATGGAAATTACAATTCTAAGTAAGAACTTCTGTTAAGCCTCAGGTATGAATGTTAACTTTTTTCTAATAACTGTTAGAACCATTCAGAGTTTCTCAGTAGTTCTTAAAAGCATTTCTGATGAGATATAGTTCTCACTAAGTTTACAAGAAATCCTTATGGATGGGTTAAGCTTTCGTATTGTATTCTAACTGACAGATAATGGAGAACTCAATTTCTAAGACCAACTGAAGATATTAAAAGCACCAAAACCTACCTGCTGCTCAGTATTTCCCTGCCCTAAACCACATTTACAACAGATTATCTGCTGCTGTTCAAGAGATTTACTGCACTTTACATAATACAGAAAAACAAAACCAAAAAAAGAACACCAGAATCCACAGAGAAAAGATATACAACATCCAAAGCAAACTACGTGCAGAGCAACTCCCCGAACCTGACTTTCCAAAAGCATTAGCAGATTAACAGTGCATTAGCTGCTTTGCAGTATTTGCCTGGGCACTGTACACATTCAAAATAGGGTCACCTTCAATAAGAGAAAACACAGATTTTCAAGAGCAGCTAAAGCATTACTTACGGTATGGCTTATCTCACTGCATCTTATTTACCCTTTCAACTTTCAGATCCAACCAGTTTTTCATCTCTTGCCTTCTTTTTTGTTGTTATGAGAACACACAAAAATAAGATAGAACATAGACTTAATTTCACAGCTGACACCACCACCAAAGGCAACAACTTATTTAGTACCACACAGCAAAGGCAGAATGAAATTATCGCTTTTTAGAATATGAAAACCATAAATGTAAATACTAGCAAATTACCTATTGTTTAGAGAGGGGATTAAAATAGCATGTAGTACTTATTCACTAGAAGAGTAAGACAACAACATCAGTACCTCCTATTTTCAGCCAAGTCTGCACCTTCATCCTTGAGCTCCTTACTTTTCTTTACACAGTCTTCTAAGAGAATTTCCTTTCTTCTCTTAGTTGCATGCACCCAGTTAGTATCATCATCGCCAGCCAGATCCTTCTCATCCGCAGCTTCTGCTTCAAATTGCTGAGAAGTGGCTCTTGAAACTTTCTCACCAATCTTTCTCTTCCACCCAAAAGAAGCCATCTGGAGAACTGGAGAAAAAAAAAACATTTTCGGTAGTTAGGTAACGCAGCATTTAAGCACACAGAACACACCTCACTCCTCTCGACCCCAGAGCAGTAATGTGGAGCAGACTGGCAGTCCCCCACGCCGGTTCCGCCCATGGCTCCACCACAGGTGTTAATGAGGGAAGCCCAGTTTGGAGCCCCACTGCCGTTACCTGCCAGGCAATTCCCCCGAGCTGGAAGTGCCGCGCCACCCGTGGCCCAGCGGCAGGAAGCGGAAAGGCGGGGCGGCAGCGGCAGGAAGAAAGAAAGGGAAGGAAGGTCTCCGGCAGCCAGGGACAGCCGGGAGCTGTAGTTCGCCCAAGGACAGCCGCGGCTCGGGGTGTCAGTGCGTGTGAACTCCCGCTGCCCTGAGGCTCCCAGGGGTAAAGGAGCCCGTGCGGCGGGCCGGCTATTCCCCGCTCCCGCCGGGATGCATGTGCGGACCGGGCCAGCGGGGGTTAGCGGAGCACGGGGAAGAGGGCGGAGGGGCGACAACACTCGTCCCTGTAGGAACCAGCCGTTCCTGATGCCCGAGTGCCGCAGGGGGACAGGTGCGGGGGGCGGGAATGGCCGGTCCACCTCGGCAGCACCGACTGCGCTGGGGACAACAGCCACGCCCCGCGGGAAGGCGGCTCCCGCCGGGATATACCACAAGGAAAAGTGACCAAGGCTATCAGGAAGGGGTTTAACTCTAAACGGAAGAAAAAAAAAAAAACAACAACAAAACCAACCAAACAACAAAAAAGACAGGCTGCAGGGTTTAAAACTGCTGCCAAGTTACAGGGACAAATACCAAGGCAAAAGCCCCATCCGCGATGAGTGGAAAGGGCAGACAAGGCGAGTCACCACAGGGGGGAAAAAGGCAGCTTTTACACTGAGTATTCAGCGTCCCTCCCATCGCAAATTCCTTTTTCGCACCGAAAGGGTTTACAGGATCTAGGAGAAAACAGCAAGACCGTGTGAGCTCAGCTGGGGAACCAGCCTGCCTAGCTGGGAATTCTGCAGTCCTTTGTCGTGTTGCTGCTCCTTCTAAAATTGTAATAGCTGCTGTTTTTAAAACAAGTGTAACAGTTCTTATCCACTTATAACATACACAACACTAAAAGAAAGCATGCACATCGTTTCAAACAAGATGGTTCAGTATTTTATGTTTACTTGGTTTTAAGTTTTGAAAGTTTAAAAAGTTACACAGTTATAAACAAGCATTTTTGCCATTCAGCTTTGTCAAAAGAAATTAACAGAGGAAGTAGGCACATATTTGTTAAAGAATAGGACTTCATATCTTACAATGGTAATCAACTGGTAAAATAAAATTTAGTTCAAAGTTTGTATGAAACACTACTATCAAGACAAACATGAAAGTTTTTTTTTAATATTGCACAACCAAGATGAATTTTTATCCATTACCAAGTGAGTTATATTGCACATGGACAGTCAGGTTTATCCATGTTATTGAAAAAGTTACAATACAAAGGCAAGATAATTCATTATACTCCAAAAGGAGTACGCTTGGGAATACAGATAACACAGTTGACCAATTTGTGTATTTGCATAAGCTGCCTCCTTACAACCCTGGCAACTCTCTAGTGAAGTTCCATTTCACAGCCTATTGGCAGCTTCTAGTGCAAGGCTAAAGGTCTGCAAGATCAATAGGAACATGTGAAGAAAGCAATTTCAACAGCAAGATCTACAAAGCATAGGAAAGTCACACAACAGGCAACTGGGTTCAACTAGGTTGTTAGTGCCCCTTTCTACCCCTCCCATTCCCTATAAAAATCTCAGTTCACTCAAAAAACCTTTGACCATCAAAACTGATCCACCATACCAATAAAAATTTACTTTATTTAAAATACACATATTGTACACTTCTGCCAGAAACTTGCTTTAACCTCCAGATTACCAAAACTAAGGAAAAACATGGTTGTCTTAATGCACAAGAGGGCCAAAGGTATATAAAAATTAAAAGCTATTTGCACCTTGACACCTGGCATTTGTTGTCAGCATTACAAGGAGCAGATAGCATTTATAAATAGTTTAGCATATGTAAGTGATCCCAAACCATTTCCAGAAGAGGAATTACTGCAATTTAAAAACCTGTGCGTTTGTAGTGTTTATACAAGTGCAATATTTAGTAATTTTGAAATAAAAGGATTACAAAAATGAACACATTGATTTATTCAGTACACCAGAACCAATTCTTCAAAGACTAAAAACAGGACTTTATTGTAGGATTTGGAACTGGTCCCTTATATTGACATCTGAACCTCGGGAGTTTAAACGCAAAACTTTATGTTCCACTTTGAGGTACAGTGATACAGCCAATGTCCCTACAGAGACCATGTGTGACACTTGAGCATAAAGAAATGAGGTTGTAACTTGTACCCACCTACTAGACAGACCTCACAATCGCCCAGTTCAGAACAGAGTTACAGCAGTTGAGCTTAAAGCAGCTTTATGTTTCTTCAGATTCTGTGCATATTCAAAACATTAATTTCTGGACTGAAGCCAGGTGGCCAGGATTAAACTGTTCTTATATCTGTAGCTAGCAGTCTCCCATGAATAAAATCTCAGTCATTGGCAAGAACTGCCATCCATTTGAAGAGTCCAGGTTCACTGCTCATAGTAATGCCTGGATTTCCAGCCTCTCCCTTGAAACTAAGTAGGTCATGAAGATTATTTTGAAGGGAACATTAATTCTTGAATGCAAACCTAAATATTTTATGACTGTTTATGTCTAGTAAGGGCTAGATGAAAATGGAACTGTGGCTAATTATATCCAATATGCAAGAGGTTAAAGGTACAAGTACTTTCTGCCATTTTAACATATAAAGTTCAATCTTCTTCCTAAAATGTTGCAAAAACCGTAAATGCAGAAAGATTTTTGTTATGGGTTATGTTATTGAACATGTTATGTTTTGTAATTGAAAACTTTCTCAGTATTAGCACTCAAGTTGTTATGATCAGTTTTCAACGTTCGATGGAAAAGTTAGACTTTAATTCAGTTACATTAATTAGCAAAGTTTGCTATTAAGGCAGCCTGGGAAAAAATAAAATCCTGTATATGTAGTTTTAACTGCAAAGCGAACACTACACAGTATATCCTAAGTTAACATGTGATAACCAGCTGTATCAAAGTATAAACTTGTATGTTAAAAAACTGTCAATTTCAGATTCTGGAATAGCACGAAACAGCTCTTAAGCTGTGCCCTTAACTGTTTCTAAGGAAAAGGATTCTCAGCCTGCAGTAGGAGCTGCTGTGCTACTACCACACTAAGGTACATACACAGACCAGGGGCTTGCTCACAGTTCTCCACACTGCAACATTTTCATTTAGCCCATGGGGTGCCAAGTCTTCTCAGCATTAAGTCTCTTACCACTGTTGTGGACTCATTCTATTCACTGCCAATAGAATTTCACCCTCAGTGCATTACAGAGCACCTGCACACATTTCCAACTGGCTGGATTTGCATGCACGTAATAAAATGTATTGTTAGAAATAGTACATTGTAACATATCAAACTAGTCTTTATTATTTACTGTCAAATAAGGGGGAAGAAACATAGCAGTTTTAACACATTACTGTTAATGATAGCTCTGACCAACTGAGTCACAACTCATATTTGGGTCACTGAACTACTAAGTGTACATTTACCTACAGTGCATCAGATATATGTATTACCAGTGAAAAAAACAAGGAGGTCCATCTAATTTAAATGTTATATGCAGGCTAATGTGCACTCAATGTAAAATATTATAAACACTACCCAAAGGGCATGTTATTTCCTGTACCTGTGTTATGCCACTGGGCAGCAGGCAATCAGAATTCACTCCAGCCTCAAAATAATATATGCTAACTGCCCATACTAATTTAAATCCCCATGCAAATTGCATTGTGGCTAGCTTTTTCAGCGCCTTAGTTAATTTAACTTGATTATAACTGGAAGCATCTGACTATGATTTAGGCATGCTTATTGCTATAAAAGAAATAAGCCCATCTTCAAAACTATTGTGCAAGTATTTTAATCAGATTTGCACACATCTCAAAAAATTCTATTGTATGACTCCCTGGTCTTGGAGTTACGTCAGCTGTGGAGGAGTCAAGCGAAGAGTTCACTGATGAGGTAAGGGACGTATCTGCAGATTTTCCTTGCACATCAGCATCCGAATCTTTTTGACAAGATCTGTAGTTGCTCACAGAACCTGATCTCTGTGGAGTTGCAGTCCCAGACTTCGCTTCAGTAATTTCATCTGGGGGCAAGAGAAGAGAGGAGGAAAATTGGGAATCAGTATCAAATCAGTTATAGGAAAAGCAAATACCTTCCCCTTCTCACACTTCCAAATCTTGCCTTTTAAAATCTTGATTAATACATAAATAGCTTTTGCAAACTGTATATTTGATACAAAATAAAAGCTTAAATACATAGTAACACAAAAGCTGGTGTCCTTATGCTAATTATTTCTGTACTCTAAACTGTGGTCCACAACCATTTACATCTAGTTAAGATCAGCACCAGCCATGTTTTTCATGAACTTATTTCAGCAGCTAATAGTTCAGTTTAGGTTACTTTAAACAAAAACAAGATAGCATAAGATTAAGTTCAGTAAAAGTTCAAATGTTTTGTAGATGTTTTTTTGCTTGCATCCATTTTATTTTTATTCTACTTTTATTTGTTTTATATTTGGGTATTTATACATTGTTATTATTTGTATTTTTTATTATGATTTTATTATGATTACTACATTAAATTAATCGCTAGCATCAGCATTAATTTATCTTTCAATTCTGGAAGTTTTTCACCATAGAATGTTGTACTGCAGCAGCTTACATTACGTTCAGTATGAGGAGGAAATAGTTTCATCTTAGTAGTAGTGTTATGATGAAGCATCTCTAATTCTTACTTTAAATACTGAACATTAACTTGACTCTAACCTGGCACCTGCAAAGTTATTTCAGGACAAATAAGTGAAAAGGCAATCTCCCCTGTTTACACAAAGCTACTTTTAAGTACAAATTGTTAAGTGGAACAGAGAACAGTTAACCATGGCGGAGAGAAAGGAACCAGCTTCACTGCTGGAAGAAATATGACAAATCCATGACCTTGGGTTGTATTTCCTTAAGAGTTGAAACCAGGACTGTAGCAGGCTGCTCTCCCCTAGCTGCATGGCCCTAAGCAGTCATCCCCTCTCCAACAGGGATGGTGTTTGTCCCATACTGCAGTAAATTAGCACAGGACAGTTACCGGTCCCTTGGGTCAAGCACCACTGGATCTAAGCAAGTACCTGTACTGTCAGAAGGAACAAGGCAAGAACTGTATGGCTAAATCATATAAGATTAAACTGTCACGGGACACAGTCTTAGCCATCCTATGCTGTAATGAAGCTGCACTTCAATAAATCCTTTTTCCATGCAATGTTTTCCAAGGCTAGTCATCTACACCACTGGCTGTAGGTAATTTTGCTTTATTCTTTTATGCCCATAAACAAGCATTGTGGTCAGTGTTTATTAGCTCCTCCACTCATTTCCCGGAAGACATCCAACCAGGATTTGATGGTCTGCTACTGCCACTCTATAAAATATCTGTTTCTACAGATTAGACCAAATGTTTTCAAGACTTTAGTTACTACAAGCATACAATTCCTGTCTCAGATTTTAGCTACCACTAGCACTGGTGGGTTGACTCTGCCTGGCAGCTGATACCTCAGCACAATCAGGAAGAAAATTTGAGAAAACTCAGGGGTAGAAATAAACATAGTTCAGTAAGGAGAAAAAAAAAAAAGGAACACTAGATCAGGAAAGAATAAAGAAACACTAATACAGATTAGATTGGTTTAAAATAATAAAGGGCAACACTTCTAAGTAAATAAATCATGTTTGCATTTAGAATGATTTCCCTTACAACTCAATTAACTTAAGTAATTCTTCACATACCATCAATACTGCGGAAGTCTAGTAAATATGTTCTGCTGTCCACCTGATACAATTGTAGACTCATTTTGGAATATGCACTTGTTACTGGAT